ACCGGCATTTCCTACGGCCAGACACCGAGGGCCCAGACAGGACTACGAGCAAGCGGTGGTGGCTAACTCTTTCTCTCTTTCTCACTCACTCACTCACTCGCTCTTGCTCTCTCTTGCACGCTCTCCCTTCTTCACTCGTTCTCTATACCTCAAGGTCACCCAAGCGTAAAACTGGCTGGCTAGGCGCCGTCGTCACGAGGCTTGAAGACGAGAGAGAAATAGCAAGTCAGTCTGAGGGAGAGAGAGGGGTCGGGAGTGTGTGTGTGTGTGAGAGAGAGAGAGAGCGCTCCGGACGAGAGAAAGGATGAGAGTGATGAGAGTCACGAAGCTGATTGGTTAAGGGAGAGTTGAACGAGCTGAATGTAGCTAAGCGCGCGCGCAAACATACACTCCAGTCGAGCCACTAGGAGGCAGGTGATGCTCCTGCCTATCTGCACATACACGTCTATACACTTTGTACATTCACCTACACGCATATCTATTCCTAGGCCGGGACACCTCTGGCTGGCGGCGAACGAGGCGAGGTCAGGTTCGCCGGTCCGGCAGTCACGATCTCGCTTGGCTGCCCGCCCAACTCGAGCTTGCGGGCGCCAGGTCAGGTTGTCGAGACTCCGGTCCGGTCCGGCCGAGTTCTCTCTTCCACGCCCGCCCGAAATGGCTGCCGGCTCTCGGCGTCTCAGCTCCGCGGCCACTGCTCCCCAATTGCCGGCCGTGACGACGCCAGGCAAGAGGCTAATTGTTGGCGTGCACTTGCGGCTCGAAGCGAGTCGGCAAGTCGGTGAATCGGCCGCGCCGGAAGACGAGCAGTGGGTCGAGTGGAGGCGTTGCAGTGTGAAAAGAGGACGTTGTTCTGCGACCCCGTCACGTGAACGACATCATCTGAGCGAGAAGACGGTCAAATATGCTGGACCAAGAGAAGATGTTTGCTTTATTGGGCGCCAGATTATGACCACCTACTTCACATGACATACGAAAGTTGACCACGGGCCCGTCGGGTTGGCAGGACGACGGTGAGCCGAGGACGTCTTCACAAAACCCAACAGCCGGCCATATTTGATGAAGACATTCCAAGGTCGATTCGACCAGAGGACGACCAGTTGCCGATTGATTTTACTGCAACATTCCTGTTGACACTGTTTCCGCGACAACCTTCCTCCATTCCATCGAAAAAGTGCTAAGCTTTATACGAAGAAAAGTTGGGTTTCAAGGAATCTCTTCTTTCATAATTGTTGAGCTTACTTCCATTTCGAGTGGAAGTGTTGGGAGAAGAGATTCGAAGGTCGGTTTCACCAGAAGACGACGGCGGATTCCTCTTGACCAGCTGTCGATTGGCTTTACTGGAACATTCATGCTGACGGCCGAGGAAATCTCACTCGATTCCGGTGAAAAGGTGCTAAGCTTTCGTCCGTCTTGACTCGTTAGCTTGAATTTTGTTGTGACGATGTTACCTCGCTCTGATGATGTCCGTCATATGACGCACGAAAGCTTAGAGTGAGATTACCCCGGAAACAGCGTCAGCCTGACTGTTCCAGTTAAGCCAATCGACAGCTGGTCAAGAGGAATCCGCCGTCGTCTTCTGGTGGAAGCGAGATTCAAATCTCTTCACTCAACACCTCCACTCGAAATGGAAGTAAGCTCAACAATTATGAAAGAAGAGATTCCTTGAAACCCAACCTTTCTTCGTATAAAGCTTGGCACTTTTTCGACGAAATAGAGGAAGGTTGTCTCGGAAACAGCATCAACAGGAATGTTTCAGTAAGGCCAATCGACAGTTGGTCACGATAGATCCGTCGTCGTTTTCTGGTTGTTTAGGCCTTCGAATCTCTTCAACGGATAATTTCTCTCGAAATAGATGTGAGCTCAATCATTACAGGTTAATCAAGTAGATGTTCCAATCAGTTCTTATTGAATTGGTGAATAGTTAAGCAAGTGTAAAGCATTAGGTCTCACGATTTCTATGCAGACCAACAGGGAAATTGGCTAAATATAGGAAATAATCGTCTGAAAATAACTACCAATAATGTTATTTATTTTCCATACAAGCAGCATTCGAAGCTACTGCCAAGTGTGGAGTAGAAACTTTGTCTAGGGCAGTGGTTCCCGAACTTTTCCTAGTCGCGGCGCTCTTTTCAATTAAGCTTTTTCCATGGCGCCCTACCCTAAGTATGACTATTCATAAGAGATTAAAAAAATAAAACTCGTGTATTTTCATTATTTTTTCACTCTATTAACATTTAATTAATATTTAATAATTAATGTGATGGATGAGCCTGCAAATCACTACACATTTTCTCAAATTGTAGCCTGAACAGTTTGGGAATCACTGGTCTAGGGGATTTTAAGGACTCACTGTTGAGTATGACCGCAATGATGTGAACGGGTCTCACAATGTCATTGTTGGGCAATCTCCACAAACAGTCCTTAAATCATCTTCAGCGGCCTAGGCTGACTTCACTTGAAATGTACCCACTCAGTTTAGTTAAGGTGATGAAGGACTTTTGGTTGAATTATCACCACTTACCTTACGTTTTTATTCAACTTTGCATAGCCTTAAACGTAGATACAAAGATCAAGCTGATGTGGCATCTATTTTGGTCGCAGTCTCCTTTCGATGTACAAATGAGGTCTGACCCCGTTTTCACCACTTGGTTAGGTTGTCAGGGCAACTCAGTTGAATGCATCTTATCCAAAGTCCTAAGTCTACCTGGCAGCACAACCAAGTGGCGAAAGCGAGATCAGACCACATTTATACAGCCTTGCTTCCAAAGAGTTATTCATATCCAGTTTCGACCTCGCCCGAACTGATCTCATCAGCACTCCCCGAGGGACTCGAACTCTATTTGTGATAGTGCAGCGTATACTCTCGACACGTTGACGACTATGCCACACTGTCACGAGTCTGCTTGGGTCATAGGGAAGATGGGAATTTCAAAACAGGCCATCTATTTTTCCCTATCACATCCTGTAGTAGGATTGCCTTCGAGGAAGAGAACGGTGACGTCGGGAGATAGAAATAATACGTCTACTGCACAAGAATTCTATTCATCATAGGTCGCATAGAGTAATGAGCGAGGGATAGTGGAAGTTTCACACAATCATAGTGTAGGCCTCGGAATGTCATTGAATTTCACTTATTCTCGAATCCAAATAGCTTATCTCATTCAGACTGGATCGAAATAAAATTTCCATATTGTTGTTGTCTCATCAGCAACCCCAACGAGATTCGACCCCAGGACGTGTGTATCCTGGCCACGTCAAACAGTCACGTGTACCATTGGGTCACAGGACAGACGTGACCTTCACGACAGGCCAGGCTTTTCCCAAATCCCATTTTAATAGTGGGATTGTCTATCAAGCAAACGTGTGTTTTCCAGTGCAATCGACGAAATTACAAAATGGAGTAGTGGAAACATGTCAAGATTATACCTGGTTTCGGTTCCCGTAGGGGATGTTGATGAGACCCAGGTGAGATGGAAACGGCATTTCAGCCCAGTAGGGATGGAAATACCTTTTAGGAGGCAAGAATAAGTGAAATTCCATGGAAACATGATTTTAGGACAAGTCATCTGTCAGTACTTCAACTGCTTATGCGACATGGGGTGGATAGAACTCTTATTCAAGATTTATTGATGGTCTCGAAGATCTACCCTATTGGTACATTAAAAGATGCCGTTATCGTGCCTCAGAGTCTAGCGATTGTGGGGTTCAAGTCGTGCATTCTTTATGGCCTCATTCGGCCCGAGTCCCAAGCGAAACAGCCAATACCTGCCTCCTTTCCCAAGCATTCTATATCAGAAGCTTGTTGGGGCCGGACTGATGCTTATCTAGCGTCTCGGCGGAGTTGTCAACACGAACCATTTGGTGTTGTGACTGTGCAGCTATCAGATGCTATCTCATTCATGTAGAGTACAATCGTCAACTTGTTATTGCCAATCTCCCCACATTGTCCGAGGAGGCAGCGAATGAAATAATGTAACAGAAGGAAACCATGGCTCTTGCGGAATCCGAATACGTGATTTGGCGCTAGCCAAGAAAAGGATGTTGCTATAGGCAACCGCAGATTACACTCGACGGAGCCACGATTTACGATAAGTCCAATTAACAAATCCCTTCCACTCGCCTCTTCAAGCAAAAACATCAATCTCGATGTATTGCTGGCAACTTCATCCGTCGCCATGGCAGTAGAGGTCAAATGGTTCTGGGTAGGGGCAGCTGGCCTATTTCCATTGATGGACGACTTGCCTCGATAAATGCCCAATCCTTCCGGAATAAGCTTGTGTCTGTCCCGAAGTGGCAGACCTCGTCGGGATGAAGAAGCATCATTTGACTCGTACACGAAGTACGTCTGGCTTTCGAAGAGTTTTGCAGTAATTTGATTTGATGTGAATCTACCTTTCATTTCAAGGGAACAGTTAGTCACAATAAATTGATCGCCTGGGAGTGAAGACTGTTGGATTTTGCGAAGGCCTCGGCTCAAAGTCGAGCTACCCCGATGAACCTGTGCTAGGCTTCTGTCTATACTGCCGTCACAGACAGCTTCATATTGAGAAAGCATGTCTTACAAAAACAAAACATCAAATATGCTAAGAGAAAGAAAAATGGGTATTTTGACTTGCCCTACCAACAATTTCTTTGTATATGATGGGGAATACGCAAAAGAATGAAAACTCTACGTACTTTGTGTGCATACAGGAAAGCTGTGTTACAAAGAATTATTTATTGCTCTAACCGGAAATGACTTGTCATTTCGAAGAAAACTTAGTTAGAAGGAATTCGTGAAATGTTCCCGTCGGACATGGAGTAAATGAAGACTGTTGGATTGTGCGAACAAGTCCTCGGCTCACCGTCGTCCTGCGAACCCGATGGACTTTGTATGTCATGTAGAGTATATGATCACAACGAGAAAGGATTTTCTACAGAGAAGAGCGCCCAATATACTAAACATTTTCTCTTGGTATATGCGAAGAAAAGTTGGATTTCGAAAAATCTCTTATTTCATGATTGTTGGGCTTACCAATCAATTTCGAGTGAAAGTGTTTGGTGAAGAGATTAGCAGGTCGATTCCACCAGAAGACGACGGCGGATTCCTTTCGACCAACTGTCAAATGGCTTTATTGGAACATTCATGTTGACGCTGTTTCCGAGATAATCTCATTCGATTCCGGTGAAAAGGTGCTAAGCTTCCGTCCGTCATATGACGAACATCATCAGAACAAGGTATCATCCTTACAACCAAATTCGAGCTAACGAGTCAAGAAAACTCACCGGCACACAATATGCTCTATGTCTAAGCTCTTTGATTATGTATAAAGTGATTTGTTTAGTTCCAGTAAAGCCAGTGTATTTAGCGCTATTTTTTGTAGACAATGCTTTCTCGCTCAGATGATGTTGTTCACGTATCAAACGAAAGTTCCCCACGGGTTCATCGGGCTCACAGAACAGCGGTGAGTCGAGGAATTGTTCGTACTGTTTGCACACTTCAATTTGCATTCGCTTTCCGG